GAGTGATTCCCGCGAAAAAAGTATAAAATATATCATATTGCTAGAAACTGTGTTCTTGTGTGAGTGTGCAGTAAGATGTTCACTTCCGACGACGAATCTGACCTTAGTTTCTTTGTTCCAAGCGATGACTGCGATTTCAAAGATATGCATCAGCTTGATAAAGACAACTTGAAAAAATTCAAGGGAATACGAGACAAGTTTAATCGGAAAATCGAAGAAGAGCGACACGAACTTCTCGATCAACTTGAATCCTTGATCAGAAATTGGAAGGGCCAACTCACGGATCTTCGACCTTTTCTTCAGCGCGAAGAGATTGATCGGCTTCTCATAAAGTTCATGAAGGACTCGTATTCCATCTTTTCGTCCATATACATCATCGAATTGGTGATCCGTACCGGCTACAAAGACGAGCCTGAATTAGACAAGGACGGTGTGCCGCTGTCGCGTCGCACCACACCGCTGCATCAGGCGGCCAGACGCAGATGCTTCTACGTCGTCGACAGGCTATTCAAAATATACAACAGATACGACGTCAATTACACCGACGAATCCGGCCTGACTCATTTTCATGTGGCCTGCAGATACGGCTGCAACGGCGTCGTGCGAAAATTCCTCGAGCTCGGCCAGACACCGAATTGCCTCGCGCGAGAATCCGTCGATCCGCCGCTGCACTTGGCCGTGCGCAACTTCGACAAGGAGACGATGGAGTTGCTGCTGAGAAGCGGCGCCGACGCGAGTTTGATCAACAAGGACGGACTGACTCCGCTGCACATAATTTGCAAGAGCGTCGAACGCTACGATGATAAATTGGCGAAGCTGTTCTTCGAGGTCAACGAAAAAGTCGATCAAACGGTGCAAGTTCACGCTCGAGACAAGTTGGGCAGGACACCGCTGCAGTGGGCCGTGGCGAATCTCATGTCGGATGCGGTCGATACTCTTTTAGATCACGTCGACGATCTGTCCGATTTCGTTTTCCCCAAGGACTTGGCCATGAAATATACACTGGATTGTACACTTCAGATGGTTGTGTTTCCCACGATGTCCATCGTCAAATCGCTGAGTAGAAAAGGATACAACTTGAATCAGAACGACGCGCTGATGATCATGAAAATCTTCGGCAATTACGGATTGATTGACGATTCGGTGGGTGTCGTCGAATGTTTGCGCAACGACAAAAAATTCGCGAGAATGGCTAAAAAGCAGCTCGTGACTTCGAGCATGTCGCTGTACGATTTTCTCCTGCTACCGCCAGTAAAGGCAGAAAAAATATTTACACTTGAAGACTACAAGGAGTTTACGTCTGGAATTTCGCATCTTCGCGACGAGTCACATCGAGCATTTATCAAGTATCTGTGCGAGACGGTGACGAGAGGATTTCTTCGGGACTGGGCCCTGAAATTGTTTTCGAAGAAGAGCCCATGGCTATCTGGACGCTGCTGTGAAGAAATCATCGGTCAACTAAATGTCAAAGGTTTATGGTATATTTGTATGGAGGCCTCAAATCAAAGCACTCAATGGGTGGATTGTGTGCGTACAGATTACATAAAAGGAAACTATAATAGGGACTTGAGTCTACAATTTCATCGTGGTGGATGCTTCATGCTGAATAAGAAAATTTAAGCACTTTTTTTTTATCAAATTCGATATTATGTTGAAAAATGATAAAAAATTAATCTCAAGCAGTACGTAAATTAAAAAATCAAGCTAAAAACAAAAATTTTATTGTAGACAAAATGAAGATATTTTCTTAAATTCAGATGAACATGTGTAGCATATCTTTAACCTTATAATTCATTTTTGAAAGTTATCACCAATAAAGTTCTGATAAAACATAATTTTTTACTTACATAAAAGTACAAAGGTCAAAAATCTAAATTTTTTTCAATATAAATTTTATTTCAAGTACATCATCACTTACATACTAAACAGGCTAACTAAATGTGTATTCATTAATATTAAAATTTATGTAAACATCTATCAGTTAATACAGAATCACTTCTTATTGACTGATTACATCTCTTCATCTCTTCATTATAACTGCGTTATCCAAAATCACAACAAATCCACCTGCAAAATCTTGTTGCCAATTATTCTTGTGAAATATTCTACATCAGTAAGGAATCAAGAATAAATAAAAAATAAAATTTCATCAATAACATTTTAGACAATTAGGCAGGAAAAATGATATCAATCATCAGTCAGCGCGTTCTGAAATTTCACATCAATCATAAGCATAAACTATGTGCTATTCGATGTTTACGTAATTGCTCTGTATTGTGTCAGGTATAATTTTCAGTACACGCTACGACGCCGCAGCGTCAACTACGAATAAAATCACATCGATTATAGCCAGTGAACTTGTGAAAAGAGTGAAACAGATTTTATATTATGAATTCAACTTTTGAAAGTGTGCAGGAAATCATGTCTGATCTCAAGAACAAAATCCGTGAATGTTTCGACGCAACCAATCTAGACTATTTCCAGAGCAGTCGCAAAAAAACCAATTGGGAGGTCGAAGAGGAGCGACGCAAGCTTCTCGATCAACTTGAATCTTTAATCAGATATTGGAAAGGCGAACTGCCGTCGCTTGGAAAACATTTGCTTCGCGAAGAAATTGATGGACTTCTCATGCGGCATGTTTTTGAAAGAAGCGAAACAGTCAATGATCCTCTCATCGACTTGATAATTGGCACTGGCTACAAAGACGAGCCCGAGCTAGGAAAAGATGGCAAACCATCGTCGCGTCGCACAACGCCCATACATCTCGCGGCTAGACGCGCCGATTGTCAAATTAAATGCGCCATCCCTAAACTGTTCAAAATATACGACAGATTTGACGTGAATTACACCGACGAGTCCGGGCTTACGCATTTCCATGTGGCCTGCCAACGTCGTTGCAATGACGTCGTCAAAAAATTCCTCGAGCTCGGACTAAATCCCAATTGCCCGGAGCAAACGTCGGACACGAGCATAGTCGATTCGCCGCTACATTTGTGTTTGGCCTGGGCCAACGAGGTGGCGGTCGAATTACTGCTCAGAAACGGCGCCGACCCGAACATGACCAACAGCGAGGGATCGACACCGTCGCACATTATTGGCCAGGAATACCTCAACGATGAAGTGGCTGAGCTATTCTTCAAGATCAACGACGAACTCCGTCGGGCGGTGCACGTCAATAGCCGAGATAAAAAAGGTCGGACGCCGCTGCACTTGGCTTCGCGTTCGGGTAACCAGAAAGCGACCGAATTGCTGCTGAGACGAGGCGCCAGTCCGAATTGGGCCGACTCGAACGGATCGACACCTCTGCACGTGATTTGCGAAACGGACGAGTTCGACTGCGACTCTTTGGAACACGTAAGAAAATTTTTCGAGATCTGCGACGAGTTAAATCAGCCGGTACAAGTCGACGCCCAGGACAGGTTGGGTCGGACACCGCTGCACGTGGCTCTGGCCCGTGACCAACAGAAGGTGGCCGAGCTACTGCTGACGAGAGGCGCCGATCGGAATTTGGCCACCAAGGACGGATCGACACCTCTGCACATCATTTGCAAGAGAGACATAGATGACTATGATTTGGCGAAGATGTTTTTCGAGATCGCCGACGACGATCAGCGGCTGGTGAACGTCGACGCCGTGGACAACTTGGGCCGAACGCCGCTTCAGTGGGCCGTGGCGAATCTCTTGTCCGATGTCGTCGACGTACTATTGGATTATGTGACTGATCTATCCAACTTCACTTTCCCCATTGAGGATTACTTCGCGGAGAAATATACACTCGATTGTAGTTCACTTCAAAAAGTTGTTTTCCGCACGATGTACATCATCGAGTCCTTGGAGAACAAAGGATATGAACAGGACCAAACCGCCGCTCTTACTGTCATGAAGACATTCGCCAAGCACGGATTGATCGACGAGCCTGTAGATATCGACGAATGTCTGCGTAGCGACGAAGAATTCGCTAAAATTGCGAAAAACCAGATGGTGAGTCCGAGTCTGTCGCTCTACGATTTTCTTCAGCTGCCACCCAAAGAGGCAGAGAAAGTATTTACGATTGATGACTACGAGGAGTTCACGTTTGACATTTCGCATCTTTGCGACGAGTCTCGCAAGGCATACATTAGGTACCTGTGTGAGACAGTAACAAGAGGATTTTTTCGTCGAGCGGCACTGAAATTCTTCTCGGAGAAGAACTCATGGCTACCGCAGAGCTGCTTTGAAAATGTCATTGGGGAACTAAAGATCAAGGCTTTGTGGGACATTTGTATGGAGGCCTCAAATGAAGACACTCAATGGTTAGCTTCTGTACGTATATGTAAAAGGGAGTGAATTTTCATTGTCCTTTCATTAATGCGAAAATCATAAATATGAAAAATTAAGGTTCAATGCGCCTGTCAGAGTGAAAGAAAAATTTTCATGCGTTTTGTTTGTGATTGATACACGAATTATCTTTCAAAGTGTCAGTCTTTAGCAGCAGGTGTTCAAATTTGAATACATTCCGGAACCGTTTTAAAAATTATTTTCGTTAACGTGTTACACTTTTGTAAATACCAAGTTTGAAATGATGTTTAAAATTAAATTGCAAATAATATATAAGCTATTTTAAATAAAGTTTAAATGTAAATTTAGTTTTATATACACTTCATTTCAAAACATACTCGATCGATACGTTTGCAATATTCGCCAGCAAACAACGAAAATCTGCAGTTACATTTGTTTTTTCGAAATTTTCGTCTTGGAAAGATTGAAGACTATAGTTATGCCGAATTTCCCTTATATTGTTCATTTGTGCAACGGGTAAAAGGAAATATAGACTATTCTACTACATTATAAAGACTAAATATCAAATGTCGTATTAATTCAGCGTGCAACGAGATCAGCGACAAAACAACATCAGTCGTCAGCCAGTGTGTTCTAAAACGCCACATCTCTCTTTGTCTTGCGCGGTAGTAAAGGCTTGGGCGCGTGGCTCGAGTCTCGACTCGTTTCGAGAATGCGGCGGTTCGCACAAAGAAACGCGTAGTCGGCAGTACAGCACCGCACGTCGAGTCGCTCAGTTCATATTACGACACCGCAGCGTAAACAACGAAAGATCGCGCATTGCAGTGAGTGATTCTCGTCAAGCAGTGAAAAATTTAATTTCATAAATAACCGTATTTGTGTGTGATTGCGTAGAACGATGGCTGAAGACAATCAAAACTGTTTAAAAAAATTGAAAATTTTGCGAGAAGAAGTCTGTTGGGAGGTCGAAGAGGCGCGACACGAAATTCTCGATCGATTCGAACATTTAATCAGGAATGGTACTGGCAAACTTCCGAATCTCCGTGACACTTTTCAGCCTGAAGAGATCGATTGGCTTCTCATAATTGACGCATTTAACAAAGTCAAAACAAGCGGAGTTCCTCTCATCGATTTCGTGATTCGCACCGGCTACAAAGACGAACCCGAGTTAGACAAAGACGGCAAGCCGCTGTTCAATCGGACTACGCCTATACATCGTGCTGCTAAAACCCTAAAACCTTCTATAAAAGAAACCATATCTAAACTTTTCGAAATATACAACAAATTTGATGTGAACTACATCGACGAGTCCGGCCTCACGCATTTTAAGATAGCCTGCATGTCAAACTGCTACGAGGTCGTCGAAAAATTCCTTGAACTTAACAAAAGCCTAGCGCAAAACTTGGTTGATCCGCCGTTACTCTTCGCTTTGTATGATAATCCTTTGACTACTTTGGTCGGATTGTTGCTGAGAAGTGGCGCCAATCCAAATGTGGCTGATGCGGAAGGATTGACTCCTCTGCACATTATTGGTGAGAATGACAATATTTTCGGTGATAAAGTCGCGAAGCTGTTCTTCAAGATCTGCGATGAATTATGTCAGCCAGTTCAAGTGAATGCCCGAGACAAAAAGGGTTGGACGCCGCTACATATGTCTATTTCTAAGGGTAACGAAAAGTTGACGCGATTCCTGCTGAATAAGGGCGCCGATCTTAATTTGGTCACTGATGACGGATTAAATCCTCTGCACATCGTTTGCAAGAGTGACGATATGTTCTTATATTATAGAAAAGATATGGTGTCTCTAATATTCGAGGTAAATAATGATAAACATCAATTAGTCAACGCCGTAGATAAATTAGGCCGGACCCCGCTTCATTGGGCTGTGGCAAATCTCTTGTCAGATATAGTGGATGTAATCTTGGATCATGGAGCTGATCTGTCCGACTTCGTTTTCCCCACCGAAGATTACTTCGGCCAGAGACATACACGAAAATATACACTGCAGATGGTAGTATTCCCAACTATGTCCATTGTCGAGTCTTTGAAGAAAAAAGGATACATCTTGGACCAAAATGCTGCCCTCATGATTATGAAATTTTTTGCCAAGAATGGATTGATGATTGATGAGTCAGTAGATATTAGTGAATGTTTACTAAAGGATGAAGAATTAGTTAGCTTTGCTAAAGAGCAGATAGTGAGTCAGAGCATGTCGATTTATGATTTTTTGCAGCTCCCGCCTGATAAGGCAGAGAAGTTTTTTACGATGGAGAACTACTGCGAGTTCACCTATAGAATTTCGCATCTTCGCGACGATTCTCACCGGGCATATGTCAAGTACCTGTGCGAGACAGTATCGAGAGGATTTTTTCGAGATTGGGCACTTAAATTGTTTTCAAAGAAGACGTATTCATGGTTGCCCAAGCCCTACTGTGAAATCTTAATTATGCAACTGAAGATCAAGGGTTTATGGGACATTTGTATGGTGTCTGTGGGTGAAAATACCCAATGGCTAGATTCTGTATGTACAGATTACATGAAAAAAAATTACATTAAGAAGTAGACTCTATCCTAATTTCTAAAATGAGAGCTTGATAAACATGTATCTTTAAGTTGGGATGATTGTCAAAAATTTGTTTGTTCATACAAAATAAATTTGTAATGTGTTTGTTATTCAAATTATTCATGAAAGTCTGTGTCTTTAGCAATAAGTTCTAAGATAAGATTATATGCAAAAAAGGAAGTCTAAATGATTTCATTTTAAGTTTCATACTTTTGTAAAGATTACGTTTGATATCAAGTAGAAAATTAACTGAAAACGCTATGTATGTTGATAAAATTCAAAATTAAACTTTTGTCGCTGTCATAATAAAGATATCTTTTTTAAATACAGGCAGGTCGTAGCAATTTATTGACTTCATTAGTTATCTAACATAGACCTTATTAATTATTTAACCTAATCATATGAACAGTATCAATACAACATCTTTTTTACACATGTCAATTTACTACAGTACAAGTGAAGATTAGAAAACGTTTTTAACTTATGTGTGGTGTTATGTACTTATCACTTACATTAAGGCACACTGGATATACAATTATTAACATGCCCTAATAAAATTTATATAAAAATTTAACATTTGATGTATAAGTGGTTTTATAGACACTTATCATGTTTCTTTTGGAGTGTCAACAAATCAAGTAGCAAATATGTATGCAAAATAATTATTATTGCAGTTATCACAGTAGAAAGAAAATTAGTTGGGTCAGGTACGCGAATCTCCCTCGTTTAGTTGTGTTAAAAATTCGGAGGACTAATAATTCGTCGATTTCATACTCTGCTATGCTCTGTACAATGTAATAATTCTCTTATCTTTTTTTCATTCAAAAAAAGTTGATTTTATTCCTTGTGCTTTTTTATATTTCATAATCCATTGTCCACTATCACTACGGTTAAAAAAAAGGTAAAGATAAATAACTGTATAATTGAATTTAAAATTATGGAAAACTTGAAGCGTGTATCATTCTAAAGACGTTTATTTTTAGACTGAAGCAACGAGTGTAGATCCATTTTCACCTAATGTCATTATTTTCAATTAATGCATATTGTCTTCCGTCTTATTCTTATCTGTTCTTTTTCCAAAAAAAGAATCTCATTTTTAGCGACTTTTCGTTTTAGATTCGAGAATCTTCGCCAAGTACATGTATTTTTGCCTACGTTTTTCAAACGCGATATTCATTCCGACAGAAATTTGCTAGTGTAAGTATGTTTATAGTCTCTAAGTTTAAAACTATCCGTGCTGAACTGCTCATTATTATTCCTCTTTTATCATTAATACATCCTGAATTTTTTTTGTACATTGCGTAAACGCATTTTTGACAGGTAGTTCTATTTATTGAGATGTAAAATCACGAATGACCAATCATTCGATATTTCTTAACATATTTTGAATTATTCGTTAAAACTGCATGTTAAAAAATCGTTGTATCCTATGCCCAATGCTCGTTTTTATTCGTTCATGTGTAATTGGTACGATAAAATTATGCACACATTATAAAATTAAGTCAAATGATAAATATTCAGCCATAGACTGTTTTAATTCTTCGATTAGTATAGAGTGCGTAGCAGAAGATATTTTGTTTACACGACTATAGTGCGTACAGCCGGTGTCAGTCACGCCACTCCAGTCGTCACTGGAGTCGTACGCGGCCAGCAATACATTTTCTGTCTCTCTCCGTTTCGTGGGTAAACCCAATACGTATTATTGAGTGGCACAAAAACTGTCTGCTCTGTACTGCAAAGATCCTAAATATATGCAATTTACAAGTGAAGAAAGTGTATGCAGAGTGCCATTAAATATCTTTGAAATTCAACATTAAATTTTATAACAATGACATGAAGAAGTTTCAATAGTTTTTTTGGCAATAATTAAGAATTCGAGCAGCAATTAGATGATTACATTGTACACATATAACACTGTACTTTGTATACATATGTGATACATAGTGAATCATTTATATTATTGTATCTCTATTATGCATACATCAAGATTATTAATACTTAGTGAGTGATATTAGTTTTATGTATACTCATAAATGCAGTGACAATGATATGTGTTACAAATATAAATAAACTGATTGAAGTTCTAATGCAAGATTTTACATTTTTGTATGAAGAGTGAATTTAAACATAATTATTTAAGTCATCACATGGAATCAAGACTGACGATAACTTAACATCAATATCTAACTTGTTTAACTATTGACAATTAACTTGGCACATTTAGCTGTCTGAAAAAATTGAACATTGCCTTCACGAGCTAATAATATTCAAAATTCATGTAGAATTTAGTTTCTTTATTTTTCAAAAAGTCATAAACAGCTTTAGTTGCTTCAAGATATCATTGGGACGGTTGTTTTCAAATTCTTGGCAAGCTTTATTTCAGCTCAAATTTGCTTACTTGTAGTCAGATTCTAAGGGAATATATTAAGCAACTGAAATATGTATAGATTGTTCTGTATAAGAATGACTCGCTAGCACTTTCAAAAAAATTGAACCAAAATTGAACTTATCCATACTATTATTCTAATTTTATCTGAATTTAATCATATTATATTGATGATTAAAAGTCAATGTAGTGCTGCCAACATTTTTTAAACGAATTTAGTCATTTGAAAGAGCTTGCATCTGTAATCAGATCAGTGTCCTTGCTTCTTCATCACCTGAATTTGCAGTATTGAAAAAAGACTCATATTGACTGAAATTAGTGAAAAAAGTAAACTTTTTATGTATTGTAATAAAAAATAGCTTGTATTATAGATTTGTGAATAATAGTGAAAAAAAATGTCCAACGAGCATCAATCCAAACGCATGGATCAGCTCGGTAAAATTAATTTGAAAAAGTTAAAGAGCTTACGAAAAAAGTTCGATTTGACCATCGAAAAAGACAGACACGAATTCATCCGTCAAATCGACCCTATAATCAGCGACTGGGAGGGCCAACTCCCAAATCTCCGTGACATTTTTCGTCCCGAAGAAATCGACCGGCTTCTCATGGAGGGCCTGAAGTGCGACGTCCTGTACAACGTGTTCGGTCCGGATCCGCTGGTCGACTTCGTGATCAGGACCGGCTACAGGGACGAGCCCGAACTAGGTACAGACGGCAAGCCATCGTCGTCGCATCGCCGCACCACAGCGGTGCATTACGCGGCCGAACGCAGACACCTCGACACGGTGACCGATCTGTTTAAAATATACGACAGGTGCGACGTGAATTATAGCAACGAGTCCGGATTGACGCACTTTCACGCGGCCTGCATGTCGGGCTGCGACGACGTCGTCGAGAAATTTCTCGAGGCCGGGCAGCAGCCCGATTGCGTCTGGCCGAAAGCGGGTGACTCGCCGCTGCACATGGCTCTGGCCGGAGGTCACGGGAGCGTCGCGCGATCCCTCGTGACGCGCGGCGCCGATCCCAATCTGGCCAACAAGGCTGGATCGACTCCTCTGCACGTCGTCTGCAAGAGTTATCGAGACGACGGCTTGCTGGAGATGTTCTTCGAGATCAACGGCGAGAGAAATCAGACTGTGCGAGTCGATGCCCAAGACGAGCAAGGTCAGACGCCGCTACACTTTGCTCTGTTGTGGGGCAACAAGAGTGCGGTCGAATCGCTGCTGAGGAAAGGCGCCGATCCCAACTTGGCCAACAAGGCGGGATTGACTGCTCTGCACATTCATTGCGACAGAGTCGACGACGACAGATTCGCCGAGACGATGCTCGAGACGAGCCGAGACATGAATCGGACTTTGCGCGTCGACGCCCGGGACGCGTCGGGCAACACACCGCTGCAGACGGCCGTGGCTCGGGGACACGAGAAGATGATCGGCTTCCTGCTGCGCAACGGCGCCGACCCGAATTCGGCCGACGCCGAGGGATCGACTGCTCTGCACAACATTTGCAGGAGGGACGACGTCGACGACATGATGGAGATATTCCTCGGGATCAACGAGGAACTCGATAAGCCGGTGCGGCTCGACGCCCGGGACAACTCGGGCCGCACACCGCTGCAATGGGCCGTGGCGAATCTCAAGACGAATCTGTTCGACAGCCTGTTGAATCACGGCGCCGACTTGTCCGGCTTCGTTTTCCCGACCGAGAACTACTTCGCCGAGAGGTACGCGGCCGACTGCGAGATTCAACTCGTGACGCTGCCCACGATGTACATCGTCAAGACGCTCGAGAGAAAGGGATACCGGCTGGACGTGGCCGCCGTCGTGACTGTCATGAAGACGTTCGTCGGGCACGGATTGGTCGGCCGGGCGCCGACGGATGATCTCGACGAACGTTGGCACAACGACGCGACGTTCGCGAGAATCGCCAAGAAGCACAGAGTCGGTGCGCAGCTGTCGCTCTACGACTTCGTTCGACTGACGCCCGACCAGGCGGAGAAACTGTTTATCGCCATCGAGGACTACGAGGAGTTTCTGTACGGATTTCGTCTGCTGCCCATGGGACCGTACCAGGCGTGCATCGAGCACGTGTCCCGCGCGCTGTCGAGGGGATTCTTTCGACGATGGGCGATGGAGTTTTTCACGGAGATGACGAGGCAATATCGGCTGCCGATTCTTTGCTGCGACATGATAGTGGAGCAGTTGGCGAACGAGGATTTGTTGCGCATCGGACTGGCGATCGCTGGTCAAAACTAAGAACGAAGGAAGTGATTTCTGTAAAAAGTTACATAATAAAATGAAATAAAAAACTGTCGATACCAAAACAATGATTTAATTGCAATGTGTTTGGTTTGTTATTGCCTCTATTCTACACTTCTCTATCTTCAGTATATTAAATTGAAGTATTAAATTTCAGATGCAAAAAAAATACAGCAAATGATTTTAGTTAACATTCCATGTTGTAAAGAACAAGTTTAATATCACGTAAAATCAATTAGATAATTCTATTATACTATAATTGTATCTTTCGAAATTCTCGATAAGTTTACGCAAATTACAACGAGTTATAGCTCGTGTAATGAAAAATATAAAAAACATAACGGAAAAAAATCGAAATTTCTTTAGAACTTGGGGCCTCTCGATAGCATGAAAAATAATAGAAGGTCATGGCCACACTTTCGCTATTAATAGAACTAGCAGCATGCTGGCAGCGTGTGTATTATGAGAAAGTAAGATACCCAAGTAAAAAGTGAAAGTTATCTACAGCAGAGTAGTATCTCTATAGCCAACTCTCACGCTCATTCCTAATTTTAGTTCTGCTTGACACGCTGTAATGCCAACACGTAAATAAAATCGCTTCGTCGGCAGCGAGTGCATAATTGTGTAAAAAAAAACAAAAATATTTCAAATTATAAGTTACTGTGTGTGTTTGTTCACGAGTGCCAAAAACGATCATGTTCACGAATAATCAATGCAGTGTCGGAGAAAAGCAAATCGTGGGTTATCATTTCGGCCACGAGTTTAACCGCGAAAAAATAGAAAGTCCGAAGAAAACATCCGAAAAATGGGTCAATTGGGAGTTGATTCACAGCGAGCGACGAGCGTTTCTTCGTATATTTTACGACTTAATCAGAGATTGGAAGGGCCAGCTTCCCGACCTTCGAGAGAGTCTTCGGCCCGAAGAAATCGATTGGCTTCTAGAGGAGAGTACGAAGAATCATTCCGGAATGTCACTCGTTGCGTTCGTGGCCAGGACCGGCTACAAAGACGAGCCCGAGCTGGAGAAGGACGGCAGGCCGCTGTTGCGTCGCACCACGCCCATCCATATCGCGGCTAGAAAACGTTTGGTTGACTTCATCCCCGAGTTGTTTAAAATTTACAACAGGTTCGATGTGAATTACATCGACGTGGATGGATTGACGCATTTTCATGTGGCCTGCGCGTACGGCTGTGCCCAAGTTGTCAAGAAATTTCTCGAGGTAGGCCAGAATCCCAATCTCGTTTGGCCGAAAACGGGCGATACGCCGCTGCTCTTGAGTTTGGGCCAGGAGGACGCCTGCGAGACGGCCGTAATGCTGCTGAGAGCCGGCGCCGATCCGAGTTTGGCCAACGCGGATGGATCGACTGTTCTGCACGTTATTTCTTCATGCGCGCGTTCTTCGGAAGAATGGGTGAATTTATTACATTTAATCTTTCGCAATCGTCGAACTTTGCACGTGGACGCTCGAGACAAGAGTGGCAGGACACCGTTGCAGTTGGCTCTGCACCGTGGGAACGTGGAGGTGGCCAAGTGGCTGCTGCGGGGAGGCGCCGATTTCAATTTGGCCGACGCGGACGGATTTACGCCTCTGCACACTATTATCCGCTTGGGTCGTTCCGACGAATGGGCACGGTTATTCTTTCGAATCAAAGACAGCCAACAACGAACCTTGCGAGTCGACGCCCTCGACAAGGACGGCAACACGGCGTTGCACTTGGCTCTGCGCGAGCGCCGAAAGGAGGTGGTCGTAGCGCTACTGAGAAGGGGCGCCAATCCGAATTCGGTCAGCGGGGACGGATCGACGGCGCTGCATATTATCTGCGAGAAGAACAATGACGACGTTGCCTGGGTAAATTCGTTCTTCAAGATCTGCGACGAAAATAATCAAAAGGTGCGGATCAACGCGAGGGACAAGTTGGGCAGGACGCCCCTGCACTTGGCTTTGACCAACGAATGCAGGAAGATCGCCGAATTGCTACTGACAAGGGGGGCCAACCCGAACTTGGTCAGCGGTGACGGATCGACGGCTCTGCACATTATTTGCGAGAAATACAAGGACGATTTTGACTGGGGGAATTTTTTCTTCGAGATCTGCGACGAAAATAATCGAACGGTGCAGGTCGACGCGAAGGACAAGTTGGGCCGCACGCCGCTGCAGTTGGTTTTGACCAACGGATGCAAAACGATGGCCGAATTGCTGCTGAGACAAGGCGCGGATCCGAATCTGGCCGATCCAGAGGGATCGACTCCTCTGCACATCATTTGCCAGGTCATCAGGTACGACGCGAGCGAATTCGTAAAGGTATTCTTCGAGATCAACAGAAAGAGAAATCAGCAGGTTCGGGTCGACGCCCGGGACATATTGGGCCAGACGCCACTTCAATGGGCCGTGTCGAGTCTCATGCCCAATACCGTCGATTTTTTATTGAACAACGGTGCCGATCTGTCTAGCTTCGTTTTTCCCGATGAGAATTATTTCGGCATAATTTACAAACTCAAAGGTGTAAATCGTTACAGGAGTGTTTTAAAACTGGAGCTAATGTCTGGCGCTTTGATGATAGTCGAGAGTCTCGAGGAAAAAGGATACGACTTGAACCGCAGCGACGCCCTGAAGATCGTGAAATTTTTCAAATCGATGGAGCAGGAGGACGTGAATCTTGCAGAAAATTGGTACCACGAGGAATCGTCTTTTGCGTACCTAGCCAAAAGGACGATGATTAATTCGAGCCTGTCGCTCTACGATTTGATTCGCTTACGGCCCGAAGAGGCGGCGAAACGAGTTACAGCCAAAGACTGCTTCGTTGCACGCAGTCGAGATATTTGGCCCCGCTTGGCTCACAGAGATGAAAATTTTTTGTTTTTTCACCTACGCGAGAGAATATCGAGAGGATTTTTCCGAAGCTGGGCATTGGCGTGTTTCATGGTGCTGACGCGCTACAAGTTGCCATTCGAGTGCTGCGAACTAATCATCGATGAGTCATTCACGAACAAAGAGCTAGGTAATATTTGCTTGGCCGCAGATAAACGTCACGAGGAGAGTGAAAAAACAATAAAGTATTTAAAAAAATGTAATAATAAAAGAGAAAGGATATGTTAGAACTAAAAAAGCTTTAAAAAGCTACGTGATTAACGAGATTTTTCAATGTATGATTTCATTTAATATAATTTTTTCATTTAATAAAATAGACTCATAGCCTTATTTAATTTCCTTTATTTTTCCACAATCATAAAAAGTTTCACATCTTATTATGTAGCATTTATTATGTAGGTGCTAATTATTTTTAAAAATAATTTTAATCTAATTCAATTAAACTATTGAAGTCATGCACTTTCGGGTATAGTCGCGATGCACCATCGAGTCTGCAACATATTATCGAGAGCATCTTCACCAAGCTTACATTCTATATCAGTGTCCCTTAATTCCCGAATTTAGAAATTCTCATTTCTCTTTAAAAATATCATTAAAAGCACATGAAAAATTACGTTTCAATCAGTTTAAATTCAATCAGCACTTATATTTATAATTCAGATCTAAAGTTAATATGACATATTTAGCGTATCGTGTAATGCGCCAGTAAATAAATATCAATAGTCGATCAGGTCCGAAAAGTTACATCTTGTTTTGCGATGCGCGCGATACGTAAGTTCATGTTATTGTTTGAGCGTACGACCGTTTCGAGAACGTGGCGGGGTGGACGGCACGCGGTTTGGCAGTGTCGTGACGCGCGTGGTCGAGTCGTTCAGTTATAGACGCCGCAGCATAAAGAGCGTAAAGGTCGCATCGGCTGCTGCCGCAGTGATTCTCGTGAAAAGTTAAACGATTTTGTAAATATCACTTTTGACGACATATTCGATGTGATTTTTTTTTGCTCGAGTGACAGATGTAATACTAAAGACATGGATCACCTTGACAAAGAAAATTTGAAAAAATTGAAGAGCAAACGCAGAAAGGTTAATCGCAAGATGGAAGAAGAGAGAGACGAACTTCTCAATCAGCTTGAATCATTGATCAAAAATTGGAAGGGTCCATTGACAGATCTTCGACCTTTTTTACGACGCGAGGAAATTGACGAGCTTCTCATAAGAATTGTGAAGAGCAGGTTCCATTTTGCCAAAACGTACGCGCACGTCATCGAATCAGTGATCGAGACCGGATACAGGGACGAGCCCGAAGTAAACAAAAACGGCAAGCCACTGTTGCGCCGTACCACGGCGGTGCACTGGTTGAATGGACAGAACAAAAAAGATTTCTTCATCGGCATGCTTTTCAAAATATACAACCGATTCGACGTCAATTACATCAGCAAGTGGGGCAGCACACATTTTCACATGGCCTGCCAGTGCGGCTGCGACGACGTCGTGCGAAAATTTCTCGAGCTCGGACAAGATCCAAATTGCCTCGCGCAGGACAGAGTAGATCCGCCGCTACACTCGGCACTGAAGCGCAAACACAAGAAGGTGGTCGAATTGCTGCTGAGAAGCGGCGCCGACGCGAATTTGATGAACAAGGACGGATTGACTCCGCTGCACATAATTTGCAAGAGTGTCGGATATTACGATAACAAATTGGCGGAGCTATTCTTCGAGATCAACGACGAATTACATCAGCCGGTGGAGGTCAATGTCCGCGACAAGTGGGGCAGGACACCGCTGCAATTGGCCGTGGCGAATCTCATGCCGGATGCGGTCGATACTCTCTTGGTCAATGGTGCCGACCCGACGGACTTCATTTTTCCCAGCGACTTGGCCAAGAGATATCCACTCGACTGTGAAATCCAGATAATCGTGTTTCGCACTACGGCCATCGTCGAGTCCTTGGAGAGCAGAGGTTACGAACTCGATCGAACCGCCGCCCTGACGATCATGAAAGTATTCGCTACGTACGGATTGATCGATGATTCGGTGAACGTTGACAAATGTTTACTCAAGGACAACAAATTCGCGAGAATCGCGAAAAGACAGCTGTTGACTTCGAGACTCACACTCTATGATTTTCTTCGTTTGCCACCT